ATAGTTTTTAGATCACTTTAAAAGCAACAATCATGGCTCACCACAGCCTGAGGATTAAGTAAATAATTCATTTACTGTATAACAAAACATACAAGATTACCTGAAAATCTGTTTACAATTCAAGTAAATATTTTATTTTATGTATGGCTACCTTAAAACTTGTTTACAATTTAAGAAAACATTTTATTTTAGGTATGGTTACCATAAAACTTGTTTAACAACATTGAGTAGTTAACTTCTCGATTAACTTACACAGCTCTCAGAATTAAAAAAAAACTAATTTAGATCGGCATCAGGTTGATACAAAATTTTTAACACAAGGCTTTACCATAACAAAATAGAAAGGAACTCAGCAAAACCATCACTGACTTTTAGGTCAGCATAGTCAAGTGCATACCCTAATTTTAAGAACTGTTTACATTTTGTATAAATTTTTAACCACAATATTTAAAGTGCATATTTTAGATAATAAAATTACAATTACTATTTATTATTAAAATTGACACAGTAAAAAATTATGCTGAGTTAAGATATTCAGCTGCAAATATACTAAGCAAGTACACAAAAAAAGTGAAAGAATATGTAATTTATTCTTCAGTTCTACTGTTTAATTGTATTTTGTTTATTTTGTATTTTGTTTACCATAACAAGTTTTAAAAATATATATTTTAGGTTTTCCATTTATCTTGAAATTAGTTTTATAAATGACAAAGATGCCAGTGAAAAAATTATGCACAAATATTAGGAAAATTCCAATAATTACAAAAGGTTCTATATTTCAATAGCAAAATATTTGAAATATATCCCTACAATGTTAGTCATGTTATTCATCATTTTTGGCAAACAAAATTAGTCAAACCTGATGGAAGAAAGAAGAAATGTAAATCTGATGGTAAAAGGAAGGAGGGTTTTTAAGATAAAAAATTTGTTTACCAATTTTTTATTATGATTACCCCAAGTGTCTAACTAAGGGAGTGCGCAAATAGATAGAGCTTCTCTTTTGTTGTTAAAGTTCAAAAGTAATATGGTTTATATTTTTTCAAATCATAAAGAGTTTTGAAATTCAAAAAGAAAAGAAAAAAGAATCAGCTGCAGTTGTAAAACAATTTTATTTAAAAAAAATTTCTACATTAGTAAAGACAATGAGACTTCAATATCAAGTAAAACCAAATTCCAAGTACTGCCTATGTGTTGCTAAGTATAAAGTAAAAGAGGATAAGAAATTTATAACTATTAATATAAAATTTATACATAAGTTTGTTCAAAAAGAGTTGATTTGACAAGCTGTTTGCAATCCTTGTAAAAAATCACCTTATATTTAGATTCCACACTTTCTGGTCAATATATGATAATGATAAAAAATATTTTAATAAATCACATAACTTTTTTTTAAAAACATCTTTGCTTCCAACAAGGCTGCAAACAACCACTAATTAGAGTTGGAAGTTACTGGAAGAGAAAAGATGAAGATTGGAGAGCAAAATAACGATGACTTAAAAGGCTGCAAATTATATGAATCAGGAGAGCAAGATGAAGGAAGCGAATTACTAAGAACTGATGTTCAAGGAAAAAAACTAGAGGAATAAATGTTTTTGGGGCACTTAGGAAAAGTCACAGAAAAAGAATGAGACGAGTAACTCAAATATGAATTTTAGTAGATGGCACAAGAGACGCTAGCTCTTTAGAGCAGTGTTCATTATAGTATTTGTAGAAAAGAGAAAGAGAAGCAACATTATGACGATGTGATAATGGTTGGAGGTTCGCTGCAAAGAGCAGGTCCAACTATGTTTACAATGCACTTTTGCACCTTCTGTAAAAGAGTAAGGCAACATTAGAAGATCCACCCCAGATATGTTATGATACATTATTCCATACAAGGATAGATTTGAGATTTATAAAGAGAATAGAATCTGGAGTAAGAAAGTGTTGAGCTCGATAAAGAGATGCAACCTTAGCAGGTGCTAATTTTGCAATGGATTTTTTTATAAGGTTTCCAAAAAAAATCGGAAGTAAGAGTTAATCTTAGAAGATGAAGGGTAGATGACTCATTGAGTACATTACCGTTCAAAAATATAGGAAGGTCTAAACTATTGCAATAACGATTGGCTGAAAAAAATTGAGTTTGATCTGATTTTAAAGTTCACCAGCCACTGTGAGTCTCATGTTGTAGCAGAAGTGAGATCCATTACAAGCTCAAATGCCCCCTCCAAGCAACCAGAGAGTGTTAGCTTCTTATCATGCAAGAATAAATGGCAGTATCATCAGCGAACAATGCCACCTTAGATGTGAGAATATCTGGAAAATCGTTAATGTAAATTAAAAAAAGTATAGGGCCAAGGATTAAACTTTGAGGAACCCCTGAAGTTATTGAATAAGAAAAAGAGTCAGAGTCAGGACAACTTTTATACTATGATTCGAAAGAAAGGATTCAAGAGTCTTAAAGATGTTACTAGATACACCGTAAGAAGAAACCTAATGGAGAAGACCAGCATGCCTTTATCAAAAGCTTAAGAAATGTCAAGAGCAATGGCCTTAACCTCTTCATCTTTATCTAATGCACGATAAAACCTATCGGTTATCACTGATGGCAAATCAGCTGTAGAGCAAGAAGATCAAAGTCCATATTGATGATCAGAAAGTAAGTTATGAGATCCAAGATAAGAGATTAAGTGTTTGTAATTAAAGATTCAAAAGCCTTGCTTATGATAGGAAGAAGACTAATGGGACAGTAGTTAGACGAATCAGATCGCTCTCCAGAATTTTTGGAAATAGGAATAACAGATGCAGCTTTCCAGCAAGCTGGAAAGCAAGACGCTGAAAAACACTTGTTGAATAGTTTTGAAAGTATAGACGACAGCTTCGGAGAACACTTCTGTAAGACTATAACAGGTATGTTGTCCGGGCCACAAGCTGTAGAAGAGTCTAAGAAGGAAACCACTTTAGATATAGAAGCTGGAGTATTACAAAGGTTAAGCATTGGGTCAACCTCTTTGATGGCTATATCAAGTAGAACACAACTAATGGAATCAAGAGATGATATTGATGAAAAGTTCTTAGCAAACAATTCAGCTTCGTCTTTAGGTGAGGTGACAGTCGTAATCATACAAGAGAGGTGGAATTACAGACTTGCCCTTATTATTGATACTGTTTAAGATTCTCCAGTAGTCACAAGAGCCCAATTTTTGTGATGAAATACGAGATTTCATGACTTGAGAATAGCGGGCTTTGGCGTTTGACAAAACCTTTTTACAATGGTTTCTAGCAATAGTAAACAGACGTCTATTTTCTGGAAAATTATTTTGCTAATAGATATGGAAGTAACGGTTTCGATTGGAAATTGCAGCAGCACAATGCGAGGAAAACCAAGGAGAAGAATAAGGCTTAACCTAGAATCGTCAAGAGGGAATAAAAGATTTCATGCCAGCCTGAATCCATGAAGTTATGTAAGAAGCACATTTGTCAAAAGGAAGACAAAAGATTTCTACCCAAGGGCCAACACAAAGAAAATCACGGAACGAGTCCCAGTCAGCTTTAAGACAGTTGTAAAAGGTACAATGATAGAGGGATTCAGATGATGAGGAAGAATGAGATAATAGTTTTAGAGAGATCAAACTGTGATCAGAAGCCCCTAAGGATGAATGTGGAGAAACTGAGCACAGACTAGGGTCAGAAACAAGACATAAGTCGAGTAGAGAAGGTAAATAAATCGTGTTGTCTGGAAAGCGAGTTGGAAAGTTGACTATTTGAGTTAAGGAATGAGAAAGGCAAAATTTGTGGGCTTTAACGTCTGCAGAGTCACAGGCACTAGAGCCAAGCCATTCTGTGTGATGAGCATTAAAGTCACTAACAACAACGATATTGGCTGAAGGATAAAGAGAGAGGGCTAGGTCAATATGATCAGAAATAACATCAAAAAGAGTGCAGTTTCGAGATGAAAGAGAATAATATAGAGAAAAGAATAAGGCGATAGAGTGAAGTGGTGCTAAACGAAAGCACACAAAAAAATAGTCTGTGGATTCAAACTTAGTTTCCCGACAAATGGGTGAATTCTTACAAATGTAGATGCCCAGGCCAAGCATGTGACTATTGGAGTCTTTAGGAATTAAAGGAAGGTAACCATCAACACTAAGATCGCAAGATAAGACAGCTGAACTCAAATTAGTCTCACAAAGAGCAAGTAGGTCTGGTGAACTTTGCAAGAGATAAGACTCAACAGAAGAAAAGTTACTTCGAAGACCACGAATATTATTGAATGATAGGTTTAGAGAACTTGGAGATGACAATGGTTTTTTGTGTTTTATAGTTTTTGATACTTATACCTGTGTTCCAGCCTGATTTAGCTTTAATTCATAGTAAATTAGTTATGGAATGGTATTAAAAAAAAAAAAATGATGTGAACCTGGTGCCTAAAACAGCGAATCCTCAGAACTTTTAATTATTACTGTAAAAATTACATAAATAATAATTATTATATGAATAACAATTATCATTATTACTATTATTGATACCATTTGATTCTTATTTTTATCATTGTCTATATTTACCTATAAATGTATTTATGGATAAATTAGATCATTTTGTACTATCATGTATCTTCATGTCTATATTACTCTTTATTAATACTAACACGTATTTACTCTATACTAATATTATCAGGTATTTACTCTATATTAGTATGATATATCTTCAGGTATTTAGTCTAAATTAGTATGTTGTATCATCAGGTTTTATGTATCATCAAAGATTTTAAAATTTAATTAAAGCATCAATACTTTTGATTCGGAGCACAAGCATATGGATATCACCAAAGCAAAAGTTTAAAATTTCATTAAATGTTCAAAAGAACAAATAAATTTTTCGGAAATATTTTATTTTATTGTATTGAAATCATTTAGTTTTAAACATTTATGAGTAGTTATTTTTGATAGTTTTCTACTTTCACATTTTACTTTGTGTACATGCTTTATTTAAAACAAATCATTATGAATATAATGTAAAACCTCGATTGAAGGTCTTCTCCATGATGATACTTTCTTGCTTTTTTGTTTTCATCATCCTCATCAAATGGTGCTGGTTGTTGTGATAATTGGTGTACTGGTTGCTGTGTTACCTGATGTATTGGTTGCTGTGGCAATTGATTCACTGGTTGTTGTGGCAATTGATGCACTGGTTGCGGTGGCAATTGAAGTATTGATTGTTGTGTAGATTGTAAAGTTAATGGCTGCGATAATTGCTGTGCTGATTGCTAAATCATATGATTTAATCAAAACCAAAATGATCATAATGCATAAAAGAATATAGAAATATTAAACTGAATTACCTGTTTATTAATGGTATTATCTTCAGATGATTTACCAATGTCACTGTGTTGTCGTGGATCCTTTTGTATAAAACCTTTAGCTGTTTGAATTAACTGTTGAAAATTTTCAAGAAATTGAGATTCAGCTGCTTGTTTGCTATTAGGTTGAACACTGTCTTCTGAACTGGCTAGTAATGCTAAAGTTGCCTTATCTTTTTCAAGTTGTAAAGTGAGATCATGTATATGAGAAAGAATACTTAACTGAGGATTTAATGCTTGGTTTAACTGAGGATTTAACGCTTGGTTTAACAATGGATTTAGTGGCGTGACCTAAAGTTTTACACAATATTTAAACAACTATATCACTTTTTTTATAACAGATGTTTTATTGATTTTTACATCATAAACAAATTTAGAGCAACCAGTTCTAGTATACAAAATTTTATTGTTATTAAAAATTACTATAACAAGAACTTAGAGAAGAAAAAAACTAATAAATAGTCTTTAAAAAAAAAAAATTCTTCATTATTTAAAACAAAAAAAATTTTAATATAACAAAAATTAAAATTTAAAGAAAACTAAATCATCAATCGAGTCATGGTAAGTCTATTCCACACCGACCATTTTTATACTAATTCTTTTTATAGTTGTTTTATTTCAATAGCTTTTAGTTTATATGTTTTAAATTTTATTTTTTTCATATATATCTTTTAAATTTTTGTTTTGAGTTAACGATTAATGTTCAATACTTGTCATTGTGAAATTTTAAATTTCTATAAAAAAGCTGGGACAGGCTTATTAATTTTTTTCTTTATTATAATTTTATTGAACTTTTTTTCCAAACCATCTGCAGCTTATTAAAACCTTGCCCCATTAACTAATTTTAAAGAAAATAAAAGTTTGAATGCAAAATCTTTTTTTCCTATATGAAAGAAAGTTGTCTCTTTAATGTGAGTTAAATGCGGAGAATTAACTTATTACCCAAACATATTTATAACATAAGTATCTTTATTGTGACATATGTGCAACAAATTTCTCCTGGTGTTTTGATGTTTTAGAAAATTTAGGCTTTTTTTAAAATTGTCTCCTTTTTGTTTGTTATAGTATATAATATCTTTATATATGTTATGTATATATTATTTATAAAACTTTACTAATGATTTATTTTGAATTTTAGAAAATAGGAAATTAAAAAAATAATAAATTATATGTGTAAGTGAAAAGATTTGAACTCCTGCTCTGAACTTCAGAAGTGCAGCATGCTAACTACGTCAGCTGCTATACTATATTATACTAAGAAATACTCTAACTTTAAACACTATTCAATAAAAAACTCAATATAACTTTATAAAACAGCAAATAAATGCTATAAATTAAAATTAAGAAGATATTGCTGCAATGCAATTTTCCAGTAAAAGTAAAACTATAACTATTTGAAGTTTACATAAGTTAGATACCTCTTTTTTTTATTGCATACACTTTTGTTCATATTTTACTTATTAAAAAATGCTGCAACTCTTTCTCGGCATTAACTCAACTTTAATGGTTGCCATGAGTTCTGTGCAAACACAACAAATGAGCAACGGTGGCAGCAGCAGCATTAAGTTTAATAACAATATATTATAGGATTTTTTTATTTATATTGTTTAAAGAAAGTAACTGAAACATTTTCCTTGGGTTATTCACCAAATACGCCATGCAATAAGGAAGGGTGGGGAGGGGTGAGGTAGGTGTTACAATTTTATGATAATTTGTTACAAGAGCAGGATGGAGGTTGATATTCGATTGATTATGATTTTGTGATGCAGCATATTTCTTTTTAGTTTTAAATATAGTAAAACTTTTATTTTAATTAGGAGAGTGCCTTGCCAAATATAAACTCTCCGTTGATGTATGTGCATACCACTTTAGTTATTCCCATTTAACTTAAATTGGAAAGGAATTTTTAAATTAACAAACTTTATTGAAATTAACTTTTAAAAAAACTCTATTGCAACTATTAGTCAACCATATAGCTGCAGCTGCAATCTATAGCTATACGATCCCTGAACTCATGTTACTAGTGTCCACAACACTACGTTAACTTATTATAATGGAAAAATTATATACTTATTATAAATCAAATATCGTTATTCTTTTGTTTAGTTTCTTTAAATTTATACAAATTTATATAGAACTGTAGCAGCAACTGTAGCAACAACTGTAGCAGTGCAAAAAATTATATTATAATAATTAAAAGTTGTATGTTTTGAAATAAATTATTTAGTTAACTAAAATTAGGGGGAAAAAATTAAAATATTATCATACTTAAAACCACAAAAAAAAAAAAAAAAAAAAAAAAAAAAAAAAAAAAAATTTAATATATTTTTGTACAATCCCTTATATTTATAAAATTTATTTAGACTTTTAAAAATAGTTCATTCATTTATATAATCACATTTTGTATTTTACATAAAAAAAACAACAACAAAAAAACACACACTATAACATAGCAAACATTAAAAAATGTTTACGAAAGGAATTTACTTCATTTTAAAGGATATATACACAATATTTTAAATAGTATTTAATAATTCTTGACAAACTGTCCAATTTAAAAGAAATGTGATCTTTATTAGTAAGAATAATATTAAAACATATAATCTCAAATCCCATAAAGCAAATATAATTTATATATAGGGTCATTAATCCCATAAAGCAAATATAATTATATATAGGGTCATTCCATGCCAAATGAGCCAAAATTTTAGGATTTTAATATGAACCCCACCAGATTTTGATGAAACTTGGTGGGTTGGTTAATATCAATGAGAAAAGCAATTCCTGAAAAAATCTTTTGCCATTCATAAGATATGGTCATTTGAAATGTCTGATTTTTCCAAAACTAAAAACTTTAGTAAAGAAAACATGCTTTGTTCATACTTTGAAGTTCTATATTTTAAAAACAAAATTTCAGAAAACTTTCTAGTTTTTTTAATTGTATACAACTTTAGACTTTAATAAAACTTTGACATTAAATTCTCTAATCTTACAATGGCTATCTAAAAAACCTAAAAAGTCGTTCGCAAATATAAGAAGTTGATATTTGATGAGTCAATATACAAAATCTGCAACTTAACAAGTGAAAAGACATTTTTTTAGTTTCTATAAATGGTAGGCTTTCAAATTTTTTAAAAATTTAATAAAATATAATTCTGTTAAAAAGTATGAACTTTTAAAAATGGCTGCAGCTAAAACTTTAAAAAATGTCTTAACTTCAAACCACTGGTAACCTATAATCAACATTGTTTTAATAAGATTTTTTTCTTTTAATTTAATAGACTTAATTACAGTGATGAAAAAAAATAGCGGGTACTCATGGGGAAGTTACAAAATGAGAACAACGAAAATTGCCCAAAATGCAATAAAACAATAAAAATGAAGCTGTTGCTGTACTTTAATTTGTATTATATATTGTTATACAAAGTATATATGAATTTAAAAGTATTTCATAAAAGTATTTCAAAAAAAAATATGTCTGATGCATGAAGTGACTATATACAAACAAAGAATTCAGCATACATATTCAAGACTGTGACATAAGGCAAGCAAGTTATTGAGTGTTTTTTTATATCTTTTACACTTATTTATTTGTTGACCCAAAGCTTATGGAAACCTTAGTATCAAAACTTGTATTTAAATAAATCTTTTTAGATAATTAAAAAAAAAGGCAAGTGCATCATTAGATCTAATTCAATGTTGCATTGAAAAAGTATTGAATAAAGATTGTCATGATTTAAAATTTACCAAAATCAAAAAAATTAATGGTTTTGAGGAATTAACAGAAAAAGATCAAGAACTTGTAAACTTGCGATGTAAAGTAAATTATATTTAAACTATTTGAAATCACCATAAGATTTACTCAGATAGCTTTGAGATTTCGTATGATGAAAGCTTTTGTTGTGATCCATTTAACAAACACAAGTTAAATTAAAAAGAATTTAAAAATAGATTGAATTTTTAAAAAGATAATGGCTAATTTAATGTTTTATCATTTTGTTACTGATAGAATCAGAATAATCAGGATATTGCGAAGGAGTTTGATTTAATACCTGGTATAAACTTTGTATAGAATGTTGAAAAATATTGTATTTAAAAAATAACAAAGATTACGGAAGCAATTCATGTCAACAAAAAGATAATGATTTTAATGTGACTAAAATTAAAAAAAAACACCTTTAATTCAAGCATTAATAGCCTTGGTTGTTCACCTCTAAAACTAGTAGCTCATGAAGACAGGGTCGGCTATACAAAAAGTAAAATGAACAAATTCCATACTGCAACCCAAAAGAAAAAAGTTTTGGGAGTTTCTCCAGATTTAATTAAGGATAAACCAAAAACAAGAGCTGTGTTGTGAAAGTAAACAAGACTTGGAATCATTAATAGAATTAATTAAAAAAAAGTTTGATGTTTCTTCAAAATCAGAAAAACTTTAATTACTGACTTTAGTTCCTGAAAGTTGCAACATTTATTATATACTAATTTTCTGCTTCTTCTTTTTTGAGTGATAAAAGCTGCAAATTATTTAAAACAAATGCATGGGTATTGCAAAGTATTTGAAACAAATGTATAATAGCAGAACCATCTAAATAAAAAGGAAGATTTATTAGTGAGAATGTAAAAAATCAATTTCATGAATTTTACCAATCAGATGAATACACTTAAATGTGTCCAGGTATGAAACAGTATGTCTCAATCTAAGTTGGTGGTAAAAAACAACATTTTCAAAAAAGAATTCTATTAGTTATTATAAAAGAATTTTATTAAGAGTTAATTAAAATTTCCTTTAACGCCAAGATTGGGTTTTCTAAGTTTTGTGAACTTAGACCAAAGTGGTGTATTCCTATTGGAGGCGTTTCAGGTCTCTATTCAGTATGTATTAGTGAGTACCAAGAGAATGCAAAACTTTTAGCATTAAAAATGCCAGATATTTCAGACTATAAAGAACTCTTGACATTAGTTATGTGTGACTTAACATATAGAGACTGCATGCTACACAGCTGCAATAACTGTCCAGATACCAACACGCTAAAAGAGTACTGCTTTATTTGATAAACACAGCATGGAAGAAATCACATTTAATTGGTGGCAAAAAGCCAAAAAAAAAAACATAATATAATTCCAATAACCCTTCCAGTGGATGATTTTATTGAAAAAGCTTGTCAACAAATAGACCAATAATGAAATCACCACTATATAGCCAAAAATCAAGCAACATATTTGCGGCATCTAAAAATAACAAAAGAACCAAGTAAAAATTTTTTACTTACACTAAAATTGCTGAAAATTACAGATTTTTAATTTAAGATGCAGTACAAAGTTTCCATTTGAACAACAGTCAAGCAACATTGCATCCTTTTGTTATTTACTATATGAAAGAAAATAAGATAAAATATTTGTACCATTTGAGATCATTTGCAAGACAATACTAACTCAGTTCATTGTTTCATTTATGAAGTAATTAAACATTTAAGAGATGATGCTTTATTTTAATCATTGTATTTATTTTAGTGATGGTGTAGGTTCACAATACAAAAATTATAAAAACATATCTAACTTATGTCACCATGAACAAGATCATAAAGTATTTGCAGAATGGTATTTTTTTGCTAGATCACATGGAAAGAGTGCTTGTGATGGCGTTGGGGGCTCTGTCAAAAGACTTGTAGCTAGGGCCATTATGTTACATTAACATAATATTTGTACAATAGCATAAGTAACATAATATTTGTACAATAACATAAGTAACATAAATCAAAGCTTAGCAAAACAATTATAAATTTTATTAGTTTCAAACAGAAGTGACTACTCTGTACATCTCTGCATTCTTTTTTGAGTATTCCTTAATTCCCTCATCCAGTTGGTGTGGACTATATATATAAATAAATAAATAAATATATATATATATATATATATATATATATATATATATATATATATATATATATATATATATATATATATATATATATATATATATATATATATATATAGCATCCTAGTTGGCGACTTTTGGGGACATGTTATTTTTGTTCCCATTCTGTTTTTACTTTTTTTATACTATTTTTATCATATTTATATATTTTTTAATTTTTCTCTTATTTCTATTTTTATTTATATATATTTAAATTTATTATTTTATTATAAAAATATTTTTTTATATATTAATTTTTTTTATTTTTAAATCTTTAGTTTCAAAATAATATTGTTTGTCTGGATAAAAAAATCGTTGAATTTATGATAAAATTATGTGTATTATTGACTGTAAAACATGGCGGATGTAGTGTTAGTGAATGCCAAATGATGCATAAGATGTGGACAAACCTTATTAGTTATGACAAGTTGTTAAGTAAAATGAATATGTATGACGATTATTGTCACTAAGAGTGATTAAAAGGCAAGTAAATTGTAAATTAATCTAATCGCACTTTTATTAATTCTTTGTAAACCTATTATTTGTAGAAAAGAAGATAACATATAATTCAGGTAGACTTTGCTCATCTTAGAGTATTTATTTTAAAAAAAATAATTTATTTTTAATTATTTTTAAGATAAAACATTAAAAATATATATACTTTAACACTCGATTTCTTAAATTTGTTAGTATCATGTTGTTTAAAATTAGTAATACCATATGTTGTTTAAAATTGTTAGTATCATACGTTGTTTAAAATTGGTAGTATCGTATGTTGTTTAAAATTGGCAGTACCATATGTTGTTTAAAATTGGTAGTACCATATGTTGTTTAAAATTGGTACATATATAGGATTAAAAACTAGTAGTATCCTATAAGATAAAAACATAATATTTTCTAATTTTATAACAATTTCTAACTTAAATTCTTAAACTATTGCATTTTTTTAAAATAGCTAGTGTCTTAAAACCAGACTTGTGGAGCTGAAAGTTAATTTTTTTCGGTAATTATGACTAAGTAAGTACAAATCGATTTATTAGGAGGTACGCAGAACTTTGAAATGTTTTAACTAATTAAAAATGTTAAAACACATCATGTGACTTGATAAAAAATGAACTATGTATGAAACATGACATAAGAAACAAAATTTATTAATAAAGAGACGCTTTTTCACAAGCAACAAAAACAACTTAAAAATACACAAGAGCCAAGAGCAGCTTAATTTTTGCGGATCTGGCTCTACCAAAAAACAGCACTTTGACTTGTGGAGCTGACTCCAGCTCAGCTCCACAAACCTGCTCAAAACAATGTTTTCCCCACAAGTTAAAGACATTAAAAAAATATATACTTTAACACTCAATTGTTTATTATAAAATTTTATGATTTTATAATTAGCAATAAAAATAAAGTACTAATGATTTTCTTAAAAACGCTTAACAAACCCTTTTAAGACTTGAGTCTTACTAGCCACAGCATTGCTAGGGCACTTTTAACTTTATAAATCAATAAATTAAAAAAATATGTTATACTTTAAAATGGTTTAAATATATACTGAATTTTTCAACCAATACTGCCAAGTGGGCGTTTAGTGTGTGTGTGTAAAATTTTTTTATTCTGATTCACTCCAAGCAAGGCTGCAAGCAACCACTATTTAGTTGGGAGTTACTAGAAAAAAAGAATAGAGTTATAGAGCAAGGAAATGGTTGACAGAAGACTTAAAAAGTTGAAGGTTGTATGAGCCAGAAAAACATGAAGATAGGAGAGAGTTCCAAAAAGTTAAAGTACGGAGGAAAAAATTAAGAATAAAATTTTTTTGAAAAAATTTCCAGAAATTTTGAGCAAAATGTTATGGAAATTTTCAACCCTACTCAAAACTACCTTAATACTACCCATCGAAAATATTGGGTATTTTTGATTATTAATATTTGAATTAAAATATTTATTCAAAACATTTGATTATTCAATTTAATTTTGGTGTTAATTTAATAATAATTAGCTTTCTATTATTTGATTTATTATTAAATATAATTTATATTTATTATTAAAGTTTATACAACTCACTATTCAATCAAATGTGATCCCTCCCCCCCTTCCCAAAAAAAAAAAAAGAAATCATATCAATGTTTCAAAAAAAATCAAACAAATTTAAAATACATTGGAACATTTTAGATTTTTTTGGTTACATCTCTAATATATTCTAACACTAACCATGATTAACTCTTCTTAAGACATATGACAAATTAATGAGTAACTATTATTATTCATTATTATTTATTATTAATTATTCATTAATTTAAATTTCAAAAGTTAAAAATTACTGATGACAAGCTTACTAGCCCTGATTTGAATAAAAAATTTATTTAATGATTGAATTAAATAAATTTTAATGCAATAATAAAATTTACTTGTTGTGGAAGACTTAGAGCAGTACTAGGCAAAAGATTTTGTTGTGATTGCTGCAACTGAAACTGGAGATTTTGTTGTCTAGTAGCTAAAACTTGCATTTGCAATTGTTGCTGTAGCAACTCTTGATGTTTTTTTTGCTGCTCCAACTGAGCCTGGTAAATAAATAAATAAATAAATAAATATATATATATATATATATATATATATATATATATATATATATATATATATATATATATATATATATATATATATATATATATATATATATATATATATATATATATATATAAAGCACAAAAAACTTGTAAATGTTTTTAATATCAGTTGAATTTTCTATAAGTAAAATTATTTTTTTCTTATTTTTCTGTGAAGGTATAAAAAAAAATAATAATAATAAATAAAGTAGTAAAATAAAATAAAGTAATTAAATTTGTAACAAGAAACAGATATTTAAAAATATAACTATATCTTTAACATAAAATTTAATTAAAATTTAATCAAAATTAAAAAAAATTTAACTAAAATTTTGCATTTATTAAAGCATTTTGAAAACTATTTTTCTCAATAAAAGTAGATTTCAATTCTACTACTTTTCAGAGAATCAGAAAACGTTTTTCATAATACTATTCATTAGAGAATTATCTTCATAAGAATTTTATTATTTATAAATATGTTCTTTATAAGAATCAACTGTTTATTTATGCTGGTTTTACTCATAGTCAAATATTTACATACATATATCAAATATTTACATACATATATCAAATATTTACATACATATATCAAATTTTTCCCAAATTGGCAATTATGACTTTATTGCACTACTTGTATTATTAAAAACAATAAAAAATCTGCAGGTTAAGTTAATTAATATTAAGTTTGACTAAATATTATCAAAAGGTTTTAACTAACAGGTTAGGGTAAACCTTAACTGCAGACTATTCCAAATTTTTTTAGTTAAATATATTACGATAGAGAATTTCATGCTCATCAAAAATCATATAAACACATTTTTTTTTTTTTAATTCAACCATATCAATAAAAATTTACAAATCTCATCGTAAATAATAGAATTTGGTCAGATGTCACTCATATAGTTACAAACTAGTCAATGGATTGACACCTAAAAAACATAAAATTCTTGAAAAAATAAAGAAACGAAGGAATAAAAAATATATATATAAAAAAAAGAAACGAAAAGCTAAAAAAACAAAAAAATGTATGTATGTATGTATGTATGTATGTATGTATGTATGTATGTATGTATGTATGTATGTATGTATCTATGTATGTATGTATGTATGTATGTATGTATGTATGTATGTATGTATGTATGTATATATATATATATATATATATATATATATATATATATATATATATATATATATATATATATATATATATATATATATATATATATATATATATAAGAGAGAGAGAGAGAAAAAAAGAAAAGATTGTTAAACAAATAATAATGATATATATAATAATTGTAGTAATAATAAATAATAAAAATAATAATAAAGTATCGATAATATTAAGAATATTTATAATACAATATAAATTGTATGTACATATCATAGATAATAATGAAATATAATAACATTAAAAGTACCAATAATAACACGATAATAAATAAATATAATATAGATAAATAATAAATAAGGCAAAAATAAAACCACTCACTCGTTAAAGAAATTATATAATAAAGACAACTACAGTATAGAGATAAAGAAATACATTCTTACAATATATTTTTAAATTGAATTCTGATAAGCAGTAAATAGTTCGTAACAAGGGGATTTTTTTAAAGACTTTTTTATTAATGCAGGAATACACTGGTGCCAATCGGAAATACATTGTTGTTTTATAGAAAACTTACCATACTTAATTGTGTTGAAAATAGAAGAGTATAGCTTACTATTTTCTGTATTCCTGGTGTGATGATTATGGATTTCATTTGTTTTAATAAAAAAGTTTAAAAAAGAGTTTAGTAATTTATTTTGGAGAAAGTCAAACACAAAAAGACAATTTTAAAACTTTACAAGATCATGGAGTTTTAGGATTTTTAGTTCAGAAAACTTTTTTTGGATATCAGATCTCATTGGCAAAAATGTCATTATTCTAAAAGATGTGCGTTGCAAACTAGCAATGCTATTAAGTAAAGTTTCTTTTTTGAACCCAAACAATACAACAATAGTGAAGGTGAGAAGAGAATAAAGAAGAATGAAATAAAGAAATCATTCGAAGAGTTTGGATAGAAATATAGTAACGAATTAGAGAAAGCATACTGTTAGCTTGTGTAAGTTTTTTTTTTAAGATAATACAGTTGATTATACCAAGATGGGTTTTCATCAAGATATATTCCAAGATACTTTATATATTTTTCTGTTAATTTTAATTTTAATAGTACCAATAGTTTTTTGAGGGGAATGAAAAATAATGTATTCAGTTTTAATGACATTCAAGGAAATAAGATTACTATTTATTAACCAGTTACATAAGCAATGAAGATCTTGATTAACTTTTTTGCAAAGAGTCGCAAGTGAATTGTTGATATATAAAAGATTGGTATCATCAGCATAATAATGTACCATAGAATTTTTTAATAAAAAAGATAAATCATTTATATATAATAAAAACAATAACGGTCCAAGAACGGAACCTTGTTGAACGCCATATTTAATAACTTTATGTGTGGATTCAAATCCATTAACTGAAACAAACTGAGTGCGATCCCTAATATATGAAGAAAACCAATGATTAGCAATACCACATATTCCATAGTAGTTTAACTTTTTTATTAGAATGTTGTGATCAACTGTATCAAAAGCTTTTTGAACATCTATGAATACACCACAAGCAAAGGAACCACTGTCAATTGCACCACGAATCATTTCAGTAATGCTAATAAGAGCATGAGAAGTGGAGAGATTTGAGCGAAACCCAAACCGTCGAATATGAAAACAAGCAGAAATATTCAAAAAGTTGTAAAAACAAGAATACATTAGCTTTTCTAAAAGTTTACTGACATTAGATAATAATGAAATTGGTCTGTAGTTATTACATTCAAGTTTTGAGTCTTATTTATGAATTGGAATAATAGAAACAGTTTTTAAAATATTAGGGAATACACCGGTGATGAATGACAGATTAAATTGTTCAGAAAGTACAGGAGAGATATTATTTGCAAGAGTTTTAAAAATAGGTGTTAGAATACTGTTAGGTCCCGAAGCTTTGCTGTCATTAAGAGAATGAATAATAGATAATACTTCGTTCGTCAGTATTGGATGAGTGAATCTTTTTCTGTAATTCTTCCGGAACTGAAACAAAGAATGAATTAAAAGATTCCAAAATTTTAATGGGGTTGTATATCATGAAGTTGTTAGAAGATAAGCTGGAAGGATATGAGTTAATTTTTGAACTAATGTTTAAAAGATTCCTAATACCATCCCATGTAAATTTCAAATTTTTGGCATTATCAGAGAAGCACTTAGAGTAATGGTTCTTTTTACTACAACGGGTGAGAGTAACAAGTAAGTTTCTATATGTTTTATAAGATTTTTCTAGATTGAGTTTGTTATTAGGATTCTTTGCTTTAAGAAATTTATTAAACATTTTATTTCATATTTTAATTGAAGTCAAGATTCCTCGTGTTATCCAAGGTTTGAGACCCTTTGATAAGCAACGATTGCTGACTTTTTTTAATGGTGCATGTTTATCTAAAAAAGAATTAAAATTTGTGAATAAATCTTCGAAAAATGCAGCTTTTGCAAAGATTAATTTTGGTTCTATAAAACGGATGTATTAAAAATTGGGGTAAATGATCTGACACCGTAGAAGTAAAATTACGGGCAAAAATATTTGTAGAAGTTGCATTAGAAAATATGTTTTCAATTAGAGTTTTGGAGTGATTCGTGATTCTTGTTGGCAATTAAAATAATGGGAAGAAAGTTATTTAAAGCAATGTCTAAAAATTCAGAGACATAATAATCTGAGTTTGCTAATAAAAGATCGACATTAAAATCACCCATTAAAAAAAGTAGTTTTGTTTTTTTCCATAGATAGCATTTCAAAAGGTGGAATTAAATATGATTTTATCAATTCTGAAATATCCATACTAGGATGGCGATAAATACAGCCAATGTTTGATTTTTTAGGAAATATTATAATTATTATCATTTTATTAAAACAGCCTCTGTAAATATGTTTACAAGATAAAAATACATTAAAATAGTTTCAGATATAAAAGAGAGAATAAAATAAATCACTTTGGAATGTTTTCTTCAAGAGTATTTTTGAAAATTGTTCGCTGTTGCTTTGAACTCCAACATTCAACTGTCTGTACTAGAATTTGATAAGTACCTTCAGGGATTATATTTTCTGAAATTTCAATCTTCACTTTCTTCTTATCCTGAATTAGGTTTTTCATATTAAGTTTATGGATCTTACATAACTCCTTTATGTTATCTAAAAAATAATACTTTATTGAACAATAATTAAGCTGAGAATTGATAATTTTAAAAGTTACTTTATTTTTAATAGACAAATAAATAGGTTTATTTTATTTTGTTGTATGTAACTTGATATATCACGAACATTAAATAGAGAGTTTATATAATTTTTGCTATCCTTGGAGACATTGAAAAATGACTTTACTGCATTTCTTCCAAGTTTATTGTCTTTACATTGTTAACTCTCTATTTTCACATAGTTCCAGACCATACGTTAACGCCGGAACTGCTAAAGATGTATATAACTAGATAATTGAAAATGGATGTACAAACCGGATACCAGATTGAATCAGAGTTTGCACTGTTGTTTGAAATTTTGATATCCTATTGTTAATATTTGTTCTATTGAGTGAGGCAAATAAAGATTTTTGTGTAACCCAAGTAAAGCCAAGATGGTTAAGTTTTTCATTTGCAATTATTTGATGGTTGTCTATGGTTATCTTGTAATTAGTTGTTATCTTGTAATTAGTATGGTTATCTTGTAATTAGTTTGACAGCATTAAGCTTTATGCCATTTAAGTTATTGTAAGTATTACACGTTGTAATCATCCTTTCAAGACCAGATAGAGTAGAGCTAAAAAGAATGATGTCATCAGCATAAGCAACAACACCTGTAAAGTTTCCATGTATAG